CACATCAAATTCTTGGTCCCCGCCTCATCCCACATATCATACATGAATGCAAACTCTCCACTGTCAATGCGAACGGTGCAACGAAATTGGTGACATCAACATTTCGACGTCCGTTATCAGCTCCTATCAGTAGTTATCACTTCCCGCCACCCGTCATCAGTGTTCACCTCTGGCCCCCTATATATCCTAGAAGTTTGAGCGCTCTGGGTCCAAAGGGGTGAAGTTATGAATTTCCGGTCAGACACACACACACAACCGCTTAGCCGATTATATATAGTAGGATTGAATATTATTAATCTGGCTATAGAGGTTATCTAATTTGCTAAACACGATCATGTAAATGGGGACGGAAGTGGTGTAGTGACAAGTGGCGCGCTTACCACGCGAGCGGTCCGGGGATCAAATCCTGGGTCGTGAGTCGCCCGGGCCAACCAAGCCTTCCATCCCTCCGGGGTCGGTTAATTGGTACCAGACTTGTCTGGGAGGATAAAAACACTGACTTGAACATCGGCTGGCCCCCGCAAGTCATTGTATAGGCCACATCGCATTCAAACGCCACTACGAATGTACAAATGGAAGTAGAATGCGTGCCGCATCCCAAAAGGGATTGATCAACGGCAAATGCTTTATCCTTTATCCTTTACTTCGTATAACTTCGTATAATACGTAATTTTTTATTGCAAAGAGAATACTGGTTCATTCGCACTGCTTGCTTTGCTCACTCAAGCTCCATAGGTGAACAGTAAGTGGTACTTGGTCGCAAATGCTTACGAGTCACCACTTCTTTACTTCCCGACAGGACTAGCAGGAAATTACCTACCCCGTGGTAGGGAGAAATTCGTTGATCCGGTACAAGTGATGCTAAACATGCTTATCGCTTGCGCGCGGAAGCATCTCTGTTGCCAAAATTCCACCGATTCCCCCAATTTACCACTTCTCCCTTCCCCTGATTGCTCATAAAATCAGCCACGACTTCAGTATGTCCCAAAAGGTACCTGAAGGGTGTTCTAAACGGCGCTGACTAGCAAGCTACTGTGTACTTAAAACTGAAGCGCGTCCATATCAGTCGGAAAGTCATTCGGGAAAAGTGGTGTCGTATCTGGAAAAGCAGACGCTGTCATTAAGTGGGACAGACTGTTTGGGCGAACAAGAGCTGAAAAGGTTAATCAAAAAAAAGTTTCCCGTGCTTAAGCATTAAAATTGAAAGCATTAGCACTACGATTGAAACATTCAAGCATTTGGCATTGGCTAATCTCTCTGGGATGCGCCACGTATTCTATTTCCATTCAGAACAGTGACACCATTTGAATGCGTGTGATATATGTGTATAACCACAACAGCAATAACCTGAGTGGACCAGCCGATATACACACTAGGGTTTGTTTTTTCGAGAATGGTATAGTGTCAATTAAAGGAGGATTCCATAAGGTCGAAGTCGAAGAGTCTACGGAAGGATAATCTACTCAGGGGGAAGACAAGGCGGACCTCGAAAAGGGGCGGACCGACACGCAATTCGCAGCGAAGGATATGCCCAGGCGATCTAGCATGGCTCTTCCGCGGCGCTTTCGGCGCAAAGCACCTCCTTCTCGTTGTCCGCCCCTCTAGCCGTTTAGCAGAGAGAGCGTCAGTGTTGAAGAGGGTAGCACCACTGGAGTCGCATCATGGTGAGTCAGATGACAAAGGGTGCGTCCCTTGTTGCGGGGTTATGTTACCGTTCATTTGGCTTTTTTTTTTCGTTCCTGCATCACTGTCTACATTCATCCTTACTTCCAATGAGCTGCCTTTTCATCGTAAGGTCCACCTCGGCTTCGATCTGGGATCTGATCCCCTCTCTTGGCCGTGGTGAGCGGCTTCGGCTATGCTGACGACATCCACGTCTGAACGAAAATAATTCCCGGACTATGGGATACGACTTGTCGCGAGATAGATGAGTTAAGAGAGAGTAGGAGCTTCTCGTCCCGGAATATCGCAACGATAGAGAGCCATTCGTAGGATCTTATTCTGACAGGCATGCAGCTCGTGTCGCCAAACGGTCGCTCAGCTTTACTGAGAGCTGTGCGAAAATGAGTCCTCGGCCTTGAACTGTCTGCTTCATCTTCACTTTACGATACCCAAAAACACCGATTTATCGGCGTTCTTTACCGCATAACTTTCGATTCGTGATCTATTGAAATCTGTCTGGACTCGTATATTAGGGCCACATAACCCGAACTGGGCTGAAATCTAGGTCAGAAGTGCGGAATCAGCCGTAGTAGCTGAGCACAATGGACGACGTTTGGCCATAGTGTAATAGCAGCAAGCCAAAGCTTCTTCACGCACGCATGCATTGATTTTCACCCTTGCCCCTACAAAACACCACACTGGCCTATTAACAGCTCTACTCAATTACTCTCCAAGATAAATTTTCTCTACTCAAACTACCACTCGTCCTGTATTCTGCTCTGAGCGATTCTCATTGTCAAAATGACGGAAATGTTCGAAATGGCCCGTAGGGTTACTAAAGCCGATCTCGACGGCGACGTGAAAAATAGGCTCGAGCAATTGGAGGCAGCCGCTCATGAGTCCATCAGAGGAGGCTATTCTGTAAGAGCACTTGCGAAGCTACTGATTTACTTCCATACAACTTTCATTTCATTGAACTTCTCAGCTCCGTTGATGATCATCCACAATTTCAGACAATCGATAAGCTCCCAGACAAAGTTCTACAACAAATATTTTCCTATCTAACCCCGTACCAAGGTGAGTTTGAGTTTGAGAGTTAGCAGTTAAAGCTGCGCCAAAGCCTCAATTCAGATTCTGCAATCAGACAATGTCATGCAACGATGGCGAAACGTCGCATGCAGTCCACTGCTATGGAAATTTGTGTCATTCAGGCCGAACTACGGTGGCATTCAGGTGATAGCTCTCCTCCTGCGCAACCTGCTTTGATTTCCTCATGATTATTTCCAGGTATCGAACCACGACTATTTCTTGCAATTGATCGGCACCCAGTTTTCTGAACTCCGAATTGTCGAACTCACCACCGATCTGATCACACCAAAATGTCCTCTACGAGATGGCCAATAAATGTCCCGCGACTTCAACATCTCACGCTGGGTGAATTTTTTACTTCTGATCCATTATTTCTCTAATGGACAAAAAATTTGTAGTATTCACAAACTCTGATCACCGGGTGCACGGTTCAGGAAAAAATTCCGGCTCAGTCAACCGCGCTTTGGTAGGCAAATTAACTGCGGTGTGGGGGGGGGGGGTCGAATGTGAAAGAGAACTGAAACCTCCCTAACTTCGTTTACCGGGGTGATGATTACGCTGTATGATTTCTTGTTCATCAATGTTGGTCAAAGTCGCGTGTTCTAGCGCCGCTGAATGACCCATCAAAGGCTACTTTTCCTAGAAAGCTCTTCGAAGAACGCGAGTTTTTACCGGAGCCGTAGTTAGCTTAGCGAATGGAAGAGTGTGATAACTCAGGTATATCACAAGAGACTTTCAATGACAAGTGGCCGCCGTCGTTCTGGTTGAAGTGAGCATGTTGGTCTCAATCACAAAAAGCGGGTCGCCGGATCAGAAGGGCGTTATCTCCTCTTTCCTCTTCAAAGTAGATCGGCAGAACTTTCTAGCATTATAAGGCACAAGAAGGGTCAATCGTCATTGGACCTGGAAATAATTTTCTTCCCTGGTGTGTCCAGATGTCATCTTCGTTTGAACTAGCTCTCGATCAATATTTAATGGTGGTGTTAAACTGTTACTGTGTTTACTTCTTTGAGTGGTTATCCCAAGTTATGCTCGGTCAATTTCCCAGAAGGGTTAGTATCTGCCTCAATTTCAGTCTCTCAAATTACTTTCGACATTGCTACTGGAAGCAAGTAAGCTCAAAATTTGAGACATTTGGCTTTGATCCATAACTTTTTGAGATGCGCCACGCATTGCCTTTATTTCGAATTGAGTTTACTTTCATCTAATTTTGTCGGTACACAAGGGTTTGCCAAGTCAAGGCTGATGTGAAAGTCCGCGCTTCTGATCGCCACACAAGTTCAGCGTACCGAATTCGTGACCGGCGGGGGCGGGGGGGGGGCATGGCCTACGTCCTGTCCAGAATTTGACTCTGCGATCGCACACGGCGGCACATGTCACTACTCCTCTCCTTTTGTGGTTTAGGCTCCGAATGGGATATGAAGGGTTTTAAGGGTCTATACTCTAACAATTACGTAAGGCTGCCGTCACACAATAATGTCTTGATGATCTAGAGTCAGCTTCTTGCAATGGCGCGGTCGATGGGCAAAACAATTAAAGGTTCTAGGGTCACTTCTCAGTGCCGGTTGGGCATGGCAGAAGACAGTTCAAAAACTGGCATGAAATTTATTTAAAATATCATACTTATCTATGTTCCAAATACTAAATGATAGTAATACTATCATATGTATGCACATTACCGTAATTCGCAAAACTGCCAACCTTGTAAGTATCGACTACGAAAACTGCAAGATTTGCTTGAAGAAATTGCGTGTCGGAAAATTGTGTGCATTTCGCATGGTTTATAAGCTTTCTTTTCCCTACCTCCTTTTCTACTGTAGCCACCGATCACTAAATTATAGCCGCTTCTCAATTTGAAAATGGTGAAGGAGTACATCATCGCCCATATTTGGAATTCACGGATAGTGATTTCAGGTGAATCGGGTGAAACTGACTCCTTATGAGAGACAACTTTGAGTAGGGGGCCGCGATTTGGACCCAGTGCTTTACTTTAACGTTACGAAATGCCATCTGCACCCAAAATTCAGTTTTAATGGAAAGTTTTCTTCAGAATTTCTCAACAGCAATGCAACTCCACGATTTCACCGATTTGCAGTCTTTTCCGTCACGATTGCGCAGCTTAACGCTCTGTTTATCTGAAAACATTTTCCTCGAAGGATTCCTGAGGTACGCAGCTTAGCCTAATAAGTTTGCTGTTGTGCTGAAATTGCACTGTTTCAGAAAGGTTTACACCTTTTCAGGTTCGGTCGATGGAAGACATTCTGCATATTATTGGTGAGTATAATGCTATAGAAACAAAGACCTAACAAATCTTCTGTGATTTTCAGGGTTCCCAAATATATGAGTAAGGTAAATTTGAATGTTGTGTGGTGGTTCGTAACTGGTGTTTGTTGCCTATAAAAAGCAGTTGAACGATGCTTTTGCGTTGGTGATAAATCTCATATTACACAGCTGCTCGTGGCTTTCAGCGCAAATCTCCAGGTCTGAATAACCTCTAAAGAATGGCTTCGAGCTGCTGCCCATGAGGAACCGATTTCCAACGGGGAATAATCTACTGCGATCGGACTCTTAAAGTTATTACGAGCTGTTTACCTAATCGCCGTTCTGGGGCCATCGGAATATCCGCTCAAAAAGGGGGAGATGCTGTTATTGATTATCCTTCTGTTTCGTACCTGATACTACCAGATTCTGCGATTCCGCAAAACGGTAAAGGCATAAGTCAAGGACCCTGCCATCGTTAGCATTCTGGCGGTGCATTAAAGGCAAGGATTCGGGATAAAATAGGTGTGGAAAAGCGCTCAGTTATGAAGCTATAGAGGTGGGAGATGGTCTGGAAAAGAGAAGGAAAGCAAACGAAACACCGATTACGCCCCGCACAGAGACCTCCCCTATTTCAGCCGCATTCCACCTTGGGATAGAGAAGGGGGCGGTTGGACGAGTTTCACGAACCTAACTCTAGTTGCTCCAGTGCCAATGACATTGGGTCGCGATGGGACCGCTGCCTCAAATGCGCCCGCGCTTTTCAAGCAGCGCCACGTGGCAACCGACAGCGGAGGGTGGGGCTTGCGGACGAAGGTGTGAGTTGCGGGTTGGACGAGCTCCTTGCGCCTTTGTCGCGCACTTTCAAGCGGCAAAAGGGTGCGACAACACACTGTATTGTACGCCTGTCTACTGCCCTCGGGATCCAACAGGCGAGCGCGCCTAATCCCGGAGCATGCGCTCAAGGACAGGGCTTTTCACGATGGTTAAAGTCGTGCTGCAAGTCTGACCCAGTCCATACCAGAGCTCTGTTATGAATTCCGCAGGTGTGAGGTGCCAGGCATTTTGTCAGAATTCTTACTATCCGAGATCGTACCATTTCTCTTACATTTAGCATTTGGTGGAGAGCATTCACAAGCCATTTTAAATCCTATGACATTGTTTCAGGTACTTATGAGAAGGTGGAGGACGAAGAGGAGGAAGTTTATGAAACAGTTGAATGTGTTCAAACTGAACAATTCTTGCCGAATTTGCGTGTGGTGAACTTGTGGGGGGTGAGTTGTCATTATGCTGAAGATTCATATGTGATAGTTTTTATGTTAAGTACGAGCAAGCGAATAAAGCAGGTGACCACTTCGACGGCTCACAATATTGGCAAGCAAAAAAGACGATCTTTTGAAAAGCTTGAAGAGATCGATCGTACAAGTGGCTCCCTGCGGTTTCAGAAACGCTTCATTAGTTTTCGTAGAAATGTTAGAAAGGCAATAAAGCGGTTCCTCCTGGCCTGATGGGATTGCAAGTAGAGGAAACTCCAGGGGAAAATTCCCCCCCCCCCCCCCCCCCCCCCCCCCCCCCCCCCCCCCCCCCCCCCCCCCCCCCCCCCCCCCCCCCCCCCCCCCCCCCCCCCCCCCCCCCCCCCCCCCCCCCCCCCCCCCCCCCCCCCCCCCCCCCCCCCCCCCCCCCCCCCCCCCCCCCCCCCCCCCCCCCCCCCCCCCCCCCCTCCCCCCCCCCCCCCCCCCCCCCTCACCCCCGAAAAGGGCGGATTCACAGTTTGAATGCATCCCTTACGTATCTTGCGATAACACCTTTGGAAGTTCAGATAAACAGGGTAACATTGCGAAAGGAAAAAAAAGCGGAGCTCGCTAATGGGGGAAAGTTTTTGTTCCCTGCCAGCCACCCGCATAGTTTCCACAACAATCCCAGAAATTTTGATGTTCTCCGAGGTCTCGCTGCAGACGAATGATTCAGAAGTCCATATTACATGTTACAATCGCACACAACTCCAAATGCCTTACAGGTGAACGGTGGGGAGCGAGAAAAGGTGTATCGCGCGGCTGTTCTTTTCCATTATATTTCCTTTCCATACTGTGAAAATTTCAGGTTCCTTTCATAAATGATGATCACGTGGACGCGCTCTCCTCAAACTGTGCTCATTTGGAGTGCCTTTGTGTGAATTACTGTACTAAGGTTCGTCATTTTTAGAAATTAAAAAAAAGATTCTTCAAGAAGGACAGCTGGGTTTGACTGTTTAGAAAAGCTCAGATATTTTACAGAGGTACGGGTATTGCGCTCGTGTGAGAGTGGAATTAGAGGTGAGGAGTGGACCGCTTGAGCTGAAAAGGAAAGTAAACCGATAGAAAACATTAGAAATTAGAACCTTCTCCACTACATTCAGCGAAGGACGTATAAGCGAGACTGTAAAACACCGGAACGTTGTAAGACACTGAGCGCCGAGGTGAGATAATACATCAGCAGGTGAGAGAACACAGGGGAAGAGCGAGACGCAGGCAGCAACGTATCGCAGTGGTAGGATGTGGAAAGTATCTCGGACGTGCGCAAGCGTCAAGCCTTATCTTGACTGCCCTTGCTACGCTTTCGTGGAAGGTATCTTTGAATACCGAATACGAACACTTACTTGACATTTACATTCGAATCTTAAGCTGTCGAAAAATCAAACCTAACCGTCGCTGCGTTGCTCCCAAAGGTTTAGGAACACTTTTGTTTATGCATCGTCCCGAGAGGAGAACGGTATCACCTCTGAACGGTAAAGTGTAGCATGGGCCTCACCGCACTTACCTCATCTGGGGGGGGGGGGGGGCAGATCGCGATCAGAAGGTGCGATCGATGACGTGCCCACACTGCACTTTTGTGGAGGCTGTCCGCATGGCAACCTCTAGGTGAGCTTAGCCAACGGCCAAATTTTGTGTGTACGTATCACCTCTCATCTACCAAGAGAAATGCCCTCCTCCTGAGGTCGCGCAGCGAATGTCCCTTGTGAAGCCACCGCTCTCTCACGCTCATTGTTTACGCTTTCGCATTCTTCAATATATTACGAACTAATCAAAGTAAAAGTAATTCAGACGGTAAGCGATTGGTCGATACAAAAAATGCTAAGAACGCTGAGGGCACTGCTTCGGGCTGGCTAATGAAGCCGCTGCTTTGTGAACAAGTGGTAAAGAAAAACGACGAGCAGGCAAAGTTGCAAGCAAGCAGTAACCAAGCCCTGATGATAACCCTGCGTCAGCCAAGTCAGCACCACGCACTCAATTGTTTTGCAGGAATACTATTTTGGGAACCAAACACTCAGTGTAATGGAGACAAAAATGCTGCGCTGGCTGCCGGGGTCACGCGTTTGAACCACATTCGCAACGAGACCATCAGGGACCGGACTCAGCCGTGATGAGTTCCCCGTCGCTGACAAGATGCGCGAAGCTCGCCTAAGGGTGGTACGGTCACGTCCTTCGCGCTAATGATGAGAGTGTCCGTAAGATTCGTCCTAGACTTTAACGTGCCAGGAAAGCGGCCAAGAGGACGCCCGAAGCAACGATGGCTTGATACGTTGCATGAGGATTTGAAAATAGTTGGCCTTCATTCCCGATCAGGCATGCAACTGGGAATAGTGAGGCCAACACATGTACCGTTAAAGCACCCGCCCATAAGCGGGACAGAAGCTAAAGAATCAGAAGAAAGAACAAAACACTTCGCCCCAGGCGGAACTCGAACCTGCATCTCTTGCTCACCAGGCATGTGCTACAAGTTACGGTATCGGGGCACTGTTGCGCCCTAACTTAGTTTTTCATGGTACACTTACCGTAGCCTATCAGCACCCACTTAGTTCCTTTGAAGTCATACCTACACCTGGACAAAGTGGTAAATTTAACGTCATCTATTTCAGGTGACTGGATCGTGCCTAAGGCTTGTACTGCAACGCTGCCGGAAGCTCAAATCTCTTTTCCTCGCCCATACAAGTGAGTTTCAACATTCGAAATTGAGGAACGTAGGTTTTTGGTCTTTTTCACGAAGCGACATAGGCAGAAATCTTGCAATAGTATACTAGTCCTTTACGGCTTTACTTTTGTCTATCAGCGTCTTTAAACGCATGGGTCGCTATCGAATGGTGTGTTACTTTGTCAGAAAATCAGACAGTAAATAGGAGATTGTGAGTGGGGAAGAAAAGCAAAAAGCACATGGAAAGCACTGAAATTTTTTGTGACGTCGACCGTGATACGACTGAGAGACACAGCGGTACGAGGAGTGAAAAACGTGAGAGATCCTGTCGTACGCGAGAAGGCGCAGACCCTATGTGTGCCACGATTGACAAACGTGGCAGCGGTCGCAGCGGTAAAACGAAGGTATCGGCTCCTTTACGTCCAGTTTCAAGTCGCAACAATGCCTCCCTGCCATTTAGAGCCCTTCTACCTCAATGGAGGATAAAATTTCTCTACGGATCTAATCGCGACCCGCGCCTTCGATTAGGCTAAAATGTAGCTCTTCCGGGTATTGTATTTGTTCGAAATAATGTTGAATACTAAAGTTGGCCTATGGCCACCTCTTTTGCACTATCTATCTGTCTTCAACACTGATTATATGATATCTGCTCATTCATTTAGGTCTGGACAACGCTACGATCAAAGCAATCGAATGGGAAAAGACGAGAATCGAGGAGTTGGATGTGAAAGGCACCGAGCTGTCATCAGATACTCTGATATCACTACTGACTCGTCTTCCACATCTTCGCTGGCTGGACGCTAGTTGGCTGGAGAACATGACCGATCAGGTGAGCTCAGCTGGAACTACGGAATACCCTAATTTTTCTAAAAAGGGGTCGTGAAGGATCAAACGAATAAAAGTTTCCACCAAGCCAAAATTATCGATCGTGATGCTACGATCTATA